AACTCAACGGCTGACTGATTTCACTTGATCCTCCTAGAAACATTTACCTTTGGGCTGACAGGCATGGATACTTGCACGCTCTGTAAGAATTTGTTTGAGAAATTTAAGAGGAAACAAATGAGTTAGCACTGGATCCTCTGTTTAACAGTCACTTTGACAGACACATACAGGATACAAACTTGACTGCATTTACAAATCTCCACTCATTTTGGGTCTCATTTTTGGGTACCCCAACATGAGATTTGCATCCTGGAGTTGGCTTTCTGTTTGTTTTTGAAGTGCAGAACACCCAGTAGGGCAAGGGAACCCAGTGGGAGATGTGAGCATTCAGCACTTCTGAAAGTCAGGAACAGACACTTTTGAAGGTTTCAAGTATCAGAAGGGTAGCCGTGTTAGTCTGAACCTGCAAAAGCAATGAGGAATCCTGTGGCACCTTATAGACTAACAGATTTATTGGAGCATTAGCTTTTGTGGGCAAAGACCCACTTTGTCAGGTGCATGTAGTGGAAATTCCAGAGGCAGGTATAAATATACAGGCATAAGAAAAGACTACCAATCAAGAGTAAGGGGGTTTGAAGGTTTATTACACACAGCCCTTGAGACATAGGCAAACCATATTAATGGATATATACACATGCATAAACAGACATGGTAGCAGTGGGCAATGGCTGTGGTAGTTCCACTCAAGCCATTTGTAATATCCTTTGGCATCAGACCTCTGCTCCCTTACCACATCTTCATGCACATGCTTTGTTTGATAGCTTCTTTATTAAAGCTCAGCCTTTATCTTTCTATTTCAGTAGGTGACAGGAAGGATTTGTCTTCCTGTAAAAGGAGGAGGAGACACTGCTAGCAGGTTTTTATAGTAACAATTCTACTTTGTGAGGCAAAAACAATTTCTTTAGTGATAGCATCAGTTAATTTCCTACTGTAGAGGTGAGAAGCATCAGAGGGAGAGAATCCATTACAGGGTTTGGAGAAGCCGACAAATTACAATGTGGAGTTCTCCTGCATTTGCTTCTATATTTCACTATTCCACAATCCACTTCATCATTTTGAATCTACAATCAGTTATTCTCCCAGGGCTCCTTTAAAGAACCTTTTGAAAGCCCCAAAAGAGCTTTATGGGTTTCAAAGGCACAAGGGAGTATTCCCAGTGCACAAATCCACCTATAAGATACTAGGGCTTGAACCCCCTCTAGCTGAATCAAAGGGAATAACGGGATGTATTTACAACACAGCAAGAGAGATGTGCAAACTGTTCTTAGTCACTGTAAATATTCCACAAACCTCTTTTACAAGCTGAGCGAAAAACTATTTTTGGTACAGCTGTCGCATGACTGATCCATGAAATAAATACCCTTGTAATGGGGGTGACACAGTCTTTGCACTGTGTCAGCACATTGTGCTGAGCTGTCAGGGAAGCTCCCAGGAATAAAGCTTTGTTTTTTTAGAGTAAATCTACACAAACGTAGGTGCTTTCTTTTACTTCTGGAACATCTGTGACTCTCCCCATATGAAGCGTGATCTGTCTTACACCTGTTTACAGCTGAAGCAATTACAGTTCGGGATTTTTTTCCTGGAAGAAGTGTGTCCTTTAGGATTTCTTCCATTTTCCTCTTTCACGCATCCTTTATGGCCTTGTGTTGCTGGGTTTCTCAAAAATACCTTGGTCTCATTGCTTTAGGCAGCTAGCAAGGATTGCCTAGAGAATGGTGCCAAGCCATGCTGCCTCCCAAAACTGGAGGGTGTGTGTCACGAATACACTATCTGTCTCGTGGTGGCAGATTGCACTGTACATTGGGTCAGCAACTAAGGGCAGAACAGGGATTGCTTTTTAATGAAATATAGTGTAGAGAAGTCTAGCAGAATGGAATATATTATTCTCCAAGGTGATCACTTCCCTGGAAACAGTGAGCAACAGACAGAAGGCACGAGGGGCTGGTCAGTCAGTCAACCACTAAAACATGAGCTAACTTACGTCAACTTTCCACTGAAAATTGCTGCTGCAACGTACAGCACACATAGCAAAAACAGGTTGGCTACATCTACACAGCAGGCTTTTTGCACAAGAACAGTTGTTCTTGTGCAAAAACTTGCGGAGTGTCTACACTGCACGCATGTTCTTGGGCAAGTACATTTACAGTAAGGCGTTGAAACAGGGCTTCTTGCGCAAGAGTTATTCCTCTCCCCACAAGGAATAAGCCCTCTTGTGCAAGAGCTCTTGTGCAAAAGTGCCAGTATAGACGGAAACAGGGGTTTCTTGTGCAAAAACCCCTATGGCTTAAATGGCCATCAGAGTTTTCTTAAGTAAGAGAGTGTCCACATTGCTATGGATGCTCTTGCACAAAAGCACATGGCAGTGTGGACGTACTCCTGCGCAAAACAGTTTGTGCGCAAAAACCCTGCAGTGTAGACGGGTGGACGTACTCCTGCGCAAAACAGTTCGTGCGCAAAAACCCTGCAGTGTAGACGGAACCCCGGGTGTAAGTTCCTATCTCACTATGAAAGGATAGCTACGGAGTGAGGATGAAAACCATGTCTAAAGGAGGAGGAAGAGTGCAAAAGGGAAAACCATCCTTTCCCCAGCAACATTATGAAAGTAGGGATGTAAAATTGCTGCAGCTCCACGTGAGGTTGCCAACTTCCAGCCTGCACAGGCTGGAAGCCGGCAGCCCTGTGGGGCTGAAGTAGCCTTCTGCCTGCAGGCTGCTCTTGGGTAATGGTTAACCGCTACCTGGTAAGCATCACCTGTTAAGGGTGACTATCAGTTATCCATGCACCTCATTATATGAACGGTCTTATACTTGTGAGCAATGCACTTTCATGAGGGCACAAAACAATGGAGGTGGATGATAGAGGATTCTACTTTGATGGAGTAAACAGTCTCTTCCTTTGGGACCCGTCAGGACAGATAATTTAAAAGTTAGCACACTGTACCAGGACTGGCAATTCAATGCCATCTTAAAACTGAAAACTGGAAAAATAATTGAATAGGCATCCAGCAAGTACAGAATGAATCTTTTCGTACTTTGGATACATCCATTCAAAGCTGAGGAATAGGCTTGATTGACATCACAGCTGGTCTTTTGCTACAGAATGCTGCATGGCTAGAGGGACTGGTAATCTGCAACTCTGCACGTCTCCGATTGCTTTAATGCTTCAATCCTACAGCTCTGCATTATTATGGTTTTCGTACAATTCGTTTTTTACTTTTATTTACATAATGAAAACTGAAATACGAAGCATGACATGCTTCACTTCCTGGAGAAGATACCGAACAATGTATGCAGACATTCCAATGCTCCGAATTGGAATTATATATTACATCCACTGCAGTTGAACTTTATTTGTACAACCCTAAATTAATCTATGAATCCCTAAACCTAACCCTATCCCTTTCGGAACCACAATTTGATTATGGACCTAAACCTAAGTGCAATGTAGTGTACATTAGTCTTTTAAAAAAGAAAGTGTCTTAAAACTGTGACTAACTAGTTTTTCCCAGGGCAGTAAAAGCCAAGATCTTTTTGGTAAAAGCCATGCCATCCCTGCATTGTGAACAGAGGATAGCTGCCAGAAGATGCTTGCAATGGGGCATGGCTTGCTTATTTTGAGATTGTGTTGGAAAATTTCCTCCCCTTCCATAATAAATACAGTATTTTCAGCTTCAACTGTACTGGCAGTTACCGAGCCCCAAAAGCTGCATCCACACGTCTGAGACATGTTCATAGGAGAACTATACAATACAGAGAAATTAATGCACCCCCTGCTCTGAAGTGTCCTTAGCCTCTGTTTGCCAGAAGCTGGGAATGGACAACAAAGGATGTGACCTAGGGCAGGGGATGGGGTATGAGTGCAGGAGCAGGGGTGCAGAGGGCTTGGGTTGTGACCTGGGCTAGAGGTGCCAGGTGCTTACTAGCCAGCAGCCCAATGGGTCTCTCAGCCAGACTCCCTGCCTGCTGCACCCCAACATGCCGCTCAGAGAGGGCCGCTGCAGGGGACATGTATATCTCTGCGCACTGCGTCCTCCCTTGGGGGGAGGTGGGGCTCCGCGAGCTGACTGCACTGCAAGCATGGCCCAGGTTTCAGGCCAAATGGGAGCTGCAAGATTGTGCTGAGGGGAGTAGGGATGTTAAACTGAATAGGCGATTAACCTCATGGATTCTTATTGGTTACTCGACTATTATGTAGTGCTCAGGGGTGGGGCTGGCAGCCAGTGTGCTCCTCACTCCTGGGGAGCCCCCTGCCATGCTGCACTGCTGCCTCTGTATCAGAGGCAGCAGCGTGGGGTGCCAGGTAGGAGCTGGTCCGCAAGGGGAGCCAGTTTAAAAATCAGCTCCCTCATGGACTGGCTGCTTTGTGCCCCGTGCTGCTGCCCCTGATACAGAGGCAGCAGCATGGGGTGGCAGCAGCCCTGTCCAGGATGGGGGACTGAGCTCCCGGACCTGGTGTGAGCCAGATCTGAGTGGGGTTGCCTGC